CTCCCCCATCCACCTTTATTCTTTTCTTTACAATAAGGCTTTCAAATAAGTCATGGCTGTACGGCAGTGAAGCATTGGTGTTGAACACTGATGTCATGCTGTCGTTGATGATGATGATGACCAATGTATGGCCTAATGTAGCCCGTGACATAACAGCTCATGCCATGGTCATATGCAAACAACCTTCTCTTATCTTTAACCCCGATCCGCTAGGATTCACAACCGTAAAGCGACAGTGGACGCACTACCGCGCTGCAGATCCTGCCTCTTACCGCCTAGCTAATCTCACGTTGGTTACAGAGGCGCTTAATTTGAAGCAAAGCACAGCGAGCTCTGGTGATCATGACATCCACTTTCCCAGAAACGCGGCTATCCGACATGATACAAGTACCCAGATTTGTAAATCTGTCCATTAGGTTCTGATACCATGGTCAACTTTGGTGGTGCAGTTGCCCAGTCTTGTATTAGCGCTTCGCACTTCGAGGGCACAAAACACGTGTCAGATTTCATGGCAACATGATGTAGATTATTTAATGTACTTTGTATCTGAAAAGAGTCTGAACCAAGTGTTGCACTGTCTTCTAAATACCCCAATTCTTCACCGTCTTCCCCGGAAAGAGGCTTCACGCTAGAGGTACAATATACATCACGCAGCCTTTTTACTACGAAGTTGAAGGACGGTAGCTGATGACAGTCCCTATGGACGCCACTTTTGGTTATCAGCTCAGCAGAATACTCTCCTTCGACTTTCATATGCCCATTTGTGTTGGAGTGTGAGGACTGGAGGTGTCCGTAGAAGAATTTTGGCATACGTTTAAAGGAGGGATGTTGTCATGAAGCAATACGGTAGACTGAATCGACCCACGAGACAGTGGAAGAATGTAAGGTTTTGGACACCCTTCCCCGACCCTGCGCTTCAAATGTCCGGACCGCGGGGCAGTTGTTGTTGAGGGACTCAACAATCTGACCCACTTAGTTCTGGGAGGTTTGCTTGCCACAGGAAGTGTGAAATAATTGTGTGGTTCATAACGCGGTTGCTCACGACAGGTTTTTTTTGTGCAGCATCAGACTCCTTGGTTTTACAACCACTGGGTGATCGGAGTGTGAGGTTTTCGTGGCAGACCTTTCCTAATCCGTCCTTTCTCGGGGAAAGATAGCACCGCTGCTTCCATACACATGAACAAGTTGGTTGTCTGGAAGAAACACCTTACTGTCTTCACAATCCCATCGCAGAAAACAGTACGACGTTGGCCCCAGACTACCTCATATTACGATTACTGGTAGTACGGGGAGTTGCCATTATCTGGTTACTCCCCTTCTGAGTTCCTGGTATAGATGAACCTCAAAAAACGAAGTTTCGGCCAGTATAGCCCAAAGGACCATTACAACACTCAAATCTGACTACCATGTCAATATATATATATATATATATATATATAGGTTGGAAATGTTCCGAGATTCCAATACTTGGGCCTAGTCTCACTCAGTGTGGAACCCGGACGGTGCACTTCATGAGCTGGCATGACTGCGATGCGAGAGCCGACTTACGATTCATTGGATTGCATCCGACCACATAGGGTGACAACTGACTGACACGCTAACACCAGTTCCCTTCGGAATTTAGGTTTCCCATGTTTCACGTTACAGCAAATATGGTGATGGCCACTTAAACAGCTTAGTGGAAGATGGAACCACCAGCAATAGCAGACATAGGAAGTCGAGCAGTGGTTGCCTCAGTTTCCGGGAAAAGCTTCGGGATTTCAGGCCCCTCGTAGCGTTCCGTGTTTACTGACCATTATGCGGAGACTCAAATAAGGGCAGAGTAGCACGGACCAAACGAGCGTGTTTTTTACGAGATTAGATGTTTGATTTTAGAGCCATTCTATTTTCACATGAGGCTGGTGATCTGGTTGATCTCCCTGAATAGGAATTTTCTCCCAGAAGGGACAATCTTGACCAGGTCCTACGGGTGTCCTCTATTGGAGGAGGCTACTGCAGACTGTTTAGCATTGTTTATAGCTTTTTTCAAACATGTTGTTTGTTCGCTTTCTATCTCGTCGCTCAGTTGTTGTTGTTTTTCATTTTGGAGGCAGGTTCTAAAGTCGATCCCAGTGGACCGCATTCTGCTAGAGACGGATGCTCCATGGTGTGAAATACGTCCTACACATGCCGGTAGATCACCTCGCAGTCATTTAGTGATCGTCATTTCCTACTAGGATACAAGTACATCTCAACGCATCACCCTACACGGAAATCAGATCGATGGGATGCATCCTGCATGGTCAAAGGCCGAAACGAACCGGCTAACATCGTTCAGGTGTTAGAGGTTGTGGCCGCTGTAAAGTCGTTGCCAGCGGATGAACTTGCAGAGCAAATCTTCCAGAATACAATGAAACTTTTCTACTTTCCCGCCAATAATCCCGATGCAGTGCAATAATAAATGAATTATTTTTCCGGTTGTGCTTCAACGGCTCTCATACTCTTCTAACCTGGCTCTTCATAGGCGTGATTTCAGTCGCCTTATCAGCGTTTGTTGCAATAATCGGATCATTTGGGCCATAGCGTCTATCCGGATAGACAGATGCATGTAGCTGGTGGAACTTCCTTTGACCACACTTTTATACGTAGACTAACTAAAACAGAATTTCAGGGTTCAAACTACTAGCTCCCCTAATTATGATGGAATATGCTCTGTACCCTGGACTAAGTAGTCAAATGACAAATACCGACGTGTAGGTTTTCCGCCTTTGGAAGAAGTGTCAACACAAGCAGGTTGTCAAGGCTGTTTGTTTTTTGTCACTCGTAAATCTCATGGAATTCGTGAGATATCATTCGTCTACATCGTGGTGTTTGCTGGTTTCACTCGGAGCTGTAAAATTGCCTGACCCACGTTGATCCGTTCGGAACCTCCCTTGTTAAATGAGATGCTGGCATCTGCTGAGGTTCCATGTTTTCATACGGAGTTCAAAATTGCGTATTCCTTTGTGCTTGGCCTTGAGGCTCTTCTACTATACACAGTTCCCTGTCACCACATCGGTAGCATGATTTCCGAGAGAAACAGGCTATCATGGTTGTGAGTTATCTGTTTGCTGATTGATCCAATGTTTGACTGATGCCAGCACAAGTCTGATGTGATCAGGCTCAAAAGCCAATATCGTATCACACTTCATCAAGCCAGTGTTGTGTTCCCGATAGAGGACTTTGGGTTATATGTAAACCTGACACTATCAAAAGACTATTGGGTTTAAAAGTCTATTTACATACAAATAAGCAAAAGTTCGTGGCAAGCTTCAATTGTTAACGTTCGTGGCGTCAACATTAGGTGCACACTCTGTCTCTGTTCGGCACAGTGCTGCTTTACAGTCCGCACACAGCAAACGGCCTGGTTGGCTGGTGGTCTGGGTTGTGGTTGTCCTTTCCAGGGTCAATTTCTTGATTCCGATTTATAGTGAGACCGCGTAGATATCACGGCAGAACAGGCTGAGGCACGAGCGTGGATGGATAAGTAGATGCATTGACACGCGCCTATGCCAGCGCAGGATTGTATCGCGAAGCTGTCAATGTGGCAAGGCGAATAGCGGATACGAAGGTCGTGACACAGCGAACAATCAGCGCACAGGCGGAGCGGCTAGGTGAATGGAGAAGTAAGTTGTGTGTGGTTGCGGTGCCTGCAGAATTTACATCCACATCACCGTCTTCCTGTTCTGGTACAGTTACTATGGTGAGTCCACACCAAAGAGGAGAAGCACTGGACTCGAGTTTCGCTCTTATTAGGGATCGTCGGCAGAACATACTGGATCTTCACTCGGGCGTTGAACAAACCAGTTACATTTCTCGAAAGTTAACACGTTCGTGTGATTATGCGTGTATGTACAGTGTGTGCTGGTGCAGTAGTGGTAAGACGCTTGCCTCGCATTTCAGAAGTCCACAGTCCAAACCCCGGCACGACTAAGGAAATGCACTACTGGTGCCCTCTAATAAGAGCGACACCAGTGCTTCCCCTTGTGTGAACTCGTCAAAGTGATTGCTTCAGGACAGGAGGAGGAGGACCAGTCAAACGAGCGTACTGGGTATGTGGATAAAGAATGAGGATATCAAGCTGCCAATTTAGATTCAATAGTGACACACTGTAACCTTTGCTATCACAGTTCTGCTGTTGTGCTGGCCCATACTATGCGGCTCTCTGGGACACGTGACTCTTCTTACCTCCATGTTTGTTCATACTCTGTTCCTGAAATGTAAAAATGCAGTCATCGTGGCATGCGTCGGTAACCGTACCATTGCGGTGGCAACATAGGTGTCAATTTGTGTGTTGCAAGTGTTACCAGGTGTATACGTACAATAATGCACAATACTGGCGAAATGGCGAGCTATTGAGAGGTGAATGAATGACACTGTCGAACAAGCTGGCTTCAACCAGGTAATTAGCGACCTCTTCTTATGGTTTTCCCGCTTAGGGGAATCGGCGCTTGTAATGCCTTCCTCGCTGCCAACAGGAAGGTTTTTTATTTGGGATCTTTACCCTGGAGAGCCATTTCATCCACGAAAAAATTCATGTTTTTTTGTTTTCGGGACCTAGTTTAGCCATCAAACGCTATTATTCCGTTAACCTCGATGGAACATTTGGACAACCGGCCGTTGATTTCCTCCTTTTGAGGCCGTCAGTTTCGATTCCATCCGATCGGCATAAGGCTGCATATACGCTCAAATGACTCGACAACAATCTCCTTGGAGTACAACATCCTGGTCGCACCTCGTATTCCGACGATTAATCAACAACTGGTAACTCGCAAGTGCTATCTAGAGAATCCCCCTGGGTTTCCTCTTGGGTGGGTCCCAAGAGTATTCAAGAGGTCTGGTAAAACTAGTCACTTGAGAGGTTGTTCCTTCCAGACGTGAAAAATATACCTCATCCTACGGGCGCGTCAGCGTATTTGGGCCTTGTTAACTAACCAGTTTGTTGGGTCACCTAAGTGCGTCTGTTGTGGTACTTGTGTTTTCTATCTACGAAGTACCCTTCGAGAACCCTAAAACATTGGTATCCCTTACTTAACTACATAAGGTCAGAGATCGACTGACGTCTAGTTCGGTCGTTTTGGGCACAACGGCATATCGGCACCAATGAGGACGTTAGCCGGACCGGCCTACCGAGTACTTGCATCTACGCTACATCAGCTGGTTATGGTAACATGGTGTGCAATAACCTGATCGTTCTGAGTTTCGGAAACGGTGGTTGTCTCCCTTCAGGGTTTGGTGAGTATACCTCACCATACATACATAAGTTTCAGATAGCTAGGTGATTAAAGCACGAACCTGCCGACTGATCTGAAGGTCCGTGGCTCGAATCCAACCTCGATGTCTCCACTGCTCATGTCTAGGCTTCGGCAACCTGCTAGTATCTCAGCCCTCGTGCTTCCTTCGGCAGGTGACTGAAGTGTAGTTCAGCTGTAGCACCCTTCCGGTGCCTAGCTGCCATGCCATCCGAAGGAAACACGAGGGCTGAGATACTGCCAGGTTGCCCAAACCTAGACAGGGGAAGTCGGAAGACAGAGGCCGGGTTCGAGCCGCGGACGTTCCGGTCAGTAAATTCGCGGTCTAACCACTTGGGCCATCTCGCCCCCCTTCGACAGGTGTGGCAGCTGGTCACCAAAAGCGTACTGCAGTTGAACGATTATTATTATTAATACGTCGGTTCGTCTGGAATTAAAACCAATTTTTACTGGCTCAAAAGTCAAGGCGACATGAAGTTATAACATCCGAAAGATTTTTTTGTTTCGCATGACCTCAGTCAGCGCTTTTTCTTTGATTCATTGTGGTAGACGTTCCTAGGATAACTCCACAGTAAATTCAGGAGACGTCCTCAGTTTTACAGTGCACAGAGCGATATTCCTCGCTAGGTAGTACGCAACCAATGGGAACCAATTTGATCCTGATTTAGACAGTAGTGAAGCTCTTCAAGACATCGCTGACGGTCTTAGTCCTGTCTAAAGAATAAATGGGCAACAAGTTCTGTCGTCCGAACTGGTTGGTAGATCCGAAGAACGGGCCAAGGTCTCGTGGATAATCGTGAATCAGGCCGAACTCCAACGTAGTTTCATAAGTCTTAAACCCTTACCCGTTTGGTGGTAGGCAATGGTCGTGAATCGCAGTTTTTCAATTTTGATGACTTATTGTATTAGTAACAGTGCCTTCTGACTCACGAATTAAGTACCCAATAGGAAAGTATGGATGATTAAGAAGCTATTTGAGTACTGGCTCAAGTTCTGGAAAAATCCTCTGGCAACGATAGACAGAAACGTACTTCTATTGCTATTTAACTGCATTCTTCGTCCTGATATCAACTGGATTCATATCCCTAGAAAAGCCGATTCCGAAAGCTGTAAACTCGTTGAATCGTACAAGTTTATCGGAAATATTTTGCACACCAACACAGTCCGAAGTCTCCCTTTCGGAAAAGTCAGTAAATTATGTTTATTCAGCATTTCACGCTGTAAATGAAAATCAACTGGAGTTAACAGTAAACTTAGTAACTTCATGATTTCATGGACTTTGTATCCAGTTGTTCGCCATTTTGACCTATTATCACCTTAAGCGTGCTGGCGAACTGACGGTAGAACGAGATCCTCTGTCTAACTCGACTGTCTTCGTCCTCGGATTTGTCGCCCTCCAAACCGCCGTTGATTGCCATAATGGTGCGTCCGAACCCCCATTTCTTGTGGGCACACAGATCTTTATAAATCCCTCGGTGAGCGGAACGAGAAGATGTCGGCTGTGTCATCCAAAACCATATGGCTGAACTGAACCCCAGACTTCCACTTTCTGCCACTTTATCTGGGTCATCCAACAGTTTATGCTTATCCCCATAGTGATGCTCACTGAAGGGGCCATAATTGTAATTCCAGGTGAGCTGTAGCGGTCCTCGGCCGTAGTAACGACGTCCGGGTTTTGCGGGGTACTCTTGATTTGGTTCTACATAAGCTGACTTGACGCATTCTTCAATGTATTGGAAGCTTCCCGTCTCGTGCGCGGCATTGGCCAAAAACGCAGCCAGTTCGCGCCGTTTGTCCTCAATAGTCCCATAGTTGAGAAATCCCTGTTTTTGCCACTTTTTAGCAGACGTGGTAAAATTGTCATAGGAGTAGTAGCCTCCGGTCGCTACTAGTCGCTCCCATTGTCTTCGACTGTATACAAGCAAAGGACAAGAGAGAGAGAGGGACATGTGAGGCAGCTGTATCAAGCAAGAACCTATTTAAAACAAAGATGGTCTGCTAATCAAGAACAACCTAGTTATAGATTGATTCCAGCAATCTGTTGAACCACGTCGAGTTACGCGCAAAACCCCAAAAGCCAATTCTTTCAAATGGAGGTTTATCTACAAATGCGGTACTATAAGTACAATAATAAAATGATAAAGCTTTACAAACCTCAAATCGTGA